CGATATCAATGCTGCGCCGTGGCTAACACGTATCAACTACAGACAATCACGGGATTTCAAAGCGACATGCCCCATTTAGCTCAGGGAGCTGACGATATACAGACAGAGGAGCCAGTGCGAACGTTTGCGAAGCAGAGGTGAACCACTGGTTATGCGATATGCTAGATGCTGAATCTCCACATTATGGCATGTCATGACCAATTGTTGGCAGTACTAGATCATTCTGTTCATTCTGCTAAATGGTCGATTGCAGGAAACATCATGGCAGCCTCAATAAAGATTAAAAAAACGTTGATGAAGTCTGTAAAGTCATCAATTGCAAAAAAGCCGGATTCGCCTGCTGACAACTTGGTAGTTTCTGTAATCTCGCTCCACATCACGATGATGTATTTAGTCACCTACTCAATACGATGAAGTGGAGAAAGATGACGAAGAAAAGCAAGAAGATGAGAAGAAGGCATTGGAGGAAGAACGTGAGAGGGAATTTGCACAGGCTAAGAAGGACTGCGAGAAAGCGCGTGCGATGGTAAGAATGGCCTTGCCACGGTAAAATATATTAGCGGCCTCGTGATCTATATTTTTTTACTCATGAAGAAACGGCTTTAGGAACGTGAGTACACACTCTTCGAGAAGACAGCTGCTCCAACTCGTCCGGCGTTGGTCGTAGAACCTCCCTTGAACATTACTTGTCATGGAAAGCCAATAAATGCTTCAGTTGTTAGAAGATCTGGTGACTCACGCGTAGAAAGTATGCCGATGAACAGTATTTCACAGCAGACTACTCTTTTCTTCGTAGGAATCGATAAAAGCCCAAACAGAGATCTGTCATTAGTCGTTGACAGCAATGCTGGTGCTCAAAGTTGAAACTCACCCTTTATATGAAGATTTGGTAAGTCTCTAAGTGATTCATCTCTGCTTTCAAGGCGCTCTCCGTTCAGATTTTCATAACTCCAGACTGATCAGCAACAAAGCAACAATCATATCATATTATATTAGAAATTTTTGACTTGGGAGAATCTCCAATAAAGTGTATCGTTAAGTTCTCATCCTTGATATATTGACTGCCGTATCGATGGTTAGCAGAAAAAAGGCCGCAAAACAACATTTGCAGTTTTTGAAGGTGGAAAGAAAAAATATTTGGAACAATACTACAACGAGTTAATTATCACAGCGGCAGTTGGCAACTCAGACAATCGACCGGAACTTCCGCACAACGTTTGCGAAAGTTCCGCCGGG